TTGACAACAAAAAACCTCAAACTGGTACACTTATGACAATTTTACCCCAAACTATTTTTTTGATCACCAAAAACCCCAAACTGGTACACCTGCGACAATTTTACCCCGAATTAATTTTTTAATATTATTTTTTATTTTTTCGAATTTTATTTTATTTTTCTTTTCTTTTTCCTTTCCTTTTTTTTTCCTTCATCTTCTCTACCTTCAACCTATGGTCGTTGGTCCGGCGACCGGCCAAAGGCGGGGGCCGGCGAGGTTGGCCCCACCGGCCTCTGGAGAGGCCGACCTCGCTAGTTGCCGGCAGGGCCAAGCCTCGCCAGCGACGGCGAGGACGACCTCTTGCCAGGGGTGGGCAAGGCCGACCTCGCTAGTTACCGACGAGGTCGGCCTCGCCAGCGGCCGACGAGGCCGACCTCGCCGGCCATAAGTTAAAGGTAGAGAAGGTGAAGGGAAAAAAAAAAAGAAAAGGAAAGGAAAAAGAAAAGAAAAGAAAAAATAAAAAAATTCGAAAAAATAAAAAATAATATTAAAAAATTAGTTCGAGGTAAAATTATCGCAGGTGTACCAGTTTGGAATTTTTTGTGGTCAAAAAAATAGTTCGGGGTAAAATTGTCACAAGTGTATCAGTTTGTGGTTTTTTGCTGTTAAAAAAATAGTTTTGGGTAAATTTGTCATTTGTGTACCAGTTGAGGGTTTTTCGTGGTATTAACCCTAGAAATTTTCAATCGAATCTGCTCATCTTATCCCCTCTCTCTCTCTCTTATTGCAACGAATCTCATAATTTAATTATCTGTGATTTTGAACGGTCCATCAACTCAGCTCGATTACACATGATAACCTACTTTAGATAATTCCACCGAAATATCGATTAATGATTAACACAAAACGACTCATTCCCTTGTTTCGAAAGCGTTGACATCAACCTAATACTTCCCGTTCCACAAGCTAAGAAGGAGAAAGTCAAAAAGGGGGCATGTCATTAACAGCATAATGCAGATAAATAATGTGTTCTTTGACCCTTGACACGATTATTCACACGAAACCCTTATTTCATCATTAATATCCAAGACCCTAGAACAGATATCAATAGCAATTTGTCTCCCAATTAATATGCAAATTGTAATATTTAGCTTTTTTTTTTACCCAGTCAAAGAAGTGGCGGGGCCCATCTTTTATAAATAAAAAGAAAAGAGAAAAAGTGGGCATTTAGAGATACCAACACAGAGAAAAAAGAAAGAGGGAAAGAAGAAGAAGAAGAAAGAAAAAAAAGGGCTTTGCGCTTTAATGCCATGGACGCCTCGCCGAGCCGGATTTACTTCATATCATAACGGCCGGTAAGTATTTGTGTCCCTTGTTCGTCCAATCGGAGTATTTTTCGGAATTAGGGCAAGTTCGGATTTTTGTGAAAATCAAGCCGCGAAGTCTAATTTTTGAGTCGTTGAGCTGTGTATATATATATATATATAGAATTGGTAGTTTAGGGTGTCATGGAGCCGTGGTATTTTACGGAACTTGATTTGGACTTACCATTTGCATGAAACAAATTTTTGAAGTTGAGCGCGCATTGTGAACAATACGCGACCAGCAGCTTTTGAACTGAATTTCGTTGGTTTTTGGCTTGATTTTGGGACGGCCAAGATGTGGGTCTTCTAGTGCTTCAAAAAATCTTCCTTTTGACTATAAGCTCGCTTGGAATGGGATTCGGCGGAGAGAGTTATGGCACGATCTCCGCGTTACGAACGGCTTTGAATAATCGCTTTGGACGAGTAATTTGCGGGTACCTTTTAGTCGTTATGTTAGCGTATAGGCCTAGTTTAGTCAAGTCTTAGTTGAAATAGTATTTTACTTGATTTTGATATCGATTCTCGTTCAATTGATAGGATTACGAGATCATCGGCGTGTTTAGCCACGTTGTTTGGTTTTTGGGGCATTTCCAGGTGAGTGGTATTATCTCTTCTTTGATTTTATAAAAATCATGTCTTGAAGAAATTATGATTCGATATATATATATATATAAATTGAACTTAAAATAACACTGTGTTGCATAAATCGGGATCGAGCATTTATTACGTTTTAGCATTTGAGAATGATTTGAGAATTGTTTTTGGAAATATATTGTGAAATGATACATATGTGTATGGCGTTACAAATTAGTTTATGAAATGAGTTTGGAAATGATTCAAGAAATTCTCTACGAAATATATTTTTGGGCAGTTGAGCCGTGTTGCGAGAAAGTTCTTTGTTTGGTTTGTGAAATGTATTATAGATTGGATTTCTAATATTAGAGGACGATTGTTTGATACTCAATATGACTGTAAACCCAGGTAGGGGTTTCGGGGTATGCATACCGGGTTAGGATATCTTTCTGGGCCGAGCTACCGGCTTTGTAGGTGAAGACCTTGCCAATGGAGGAATCTTGGTAGCCTTGTCACAAGACTTTGTGTTATTACCATGGTTTAATATTGAGCAATAGATTGATCGATGGAATGGACCATCGGCATGTGATGTGATATGAGATTTATCAATGGAATAGACCATTGATTTGTGATTTGAGATTAGTCAATTGAATAGACCATTGAAGTGGTTTTTAATAGAGATTAATCAATGGACTTGACCATTTATGTTTGTCTTGTGATAGTGATTAAATGGGTATTTCTGACTTGTACAAAGTTTTGTAGAAATGAAATAACTCGTCTTTGATTTGATATATATTATATCTTTGGATTGAAAAATTAGCTTAGGGTATTGTTATATATATATATATATAGTGGCTACTCGATTTGCTTAGAAGAGATACGCACTACTTATTGAGCTATGGTTGCTCACCTTTCTCTTTATCCAATCTTTTTAGGTTCCTTGATTAGTAGCCTATAGAGAGAGAGCGTTGTCGTTGAGACTTTTAAGAGTTGGATTTCTTATCGTGGTTTGAGACCACGTCTTTCGAGTGGAAGGACGATCGTGTCATTCCCCATCCTGTTAGGTTTCGGGGTGTGACACAAATCTCGAATGTAAAACCCTAAAACAGATATTAACTCTCCACTGATCATGACCTGCATTTGCATGGCTTCAACTTGGGAAGGCGCATATAAACACCAACCTCAGATTATACGACCTTTTGAGAATAATTAGGGGGTTAAAATTGAATAGAAAACGATCCGCGCAATGCACCATCATATGCACGTAAGAAAGCGAGTTGTTTCAATGTAGTTTAATCAATTATTGGGTGCGAAAAAGGGCAGGAAAAAGAAGTTTGACATTTCTCTTTCCATCACTCGTCGGAGAGTCTAAAATTTAATTCGGGTGATTGCGAAGTTGCCGTTTCCGGGTGGTGATGAAGGCAATAATACACATTATCCTAATTGTTACAGCACAAAATGAAGCGCACCATGAGTATAAAATTCGTAGGTATCTATAGGTGTCTCATCCATCGCATACCTTTTGATATACATTGTACAATAGATTATGTGTCCAAGAATGAAAAGGAAAGAAAAAAAGAAAATCTGTTCCAATTAAAAAATTCGGGACATGGTGCTAAGTTCGACTCCGAGAAAAGTCAAAGCAATTTGTACAGCCGATTGCGGGGAGAAAGAGAAGTTCCAACAGCAATTTCAGGTGATGGATAAGGATTAGTTGTTCTTTTTCAAAACAAGTATCAATTGTTCTTGTAAGAAGTATGACATGCATCCTCGTTCTGAATGTATTGACCATCTTCTACACCCTGGACGACAAGGAAATTCTCATGGCTTGCGTGTGGTTTGATGTTTCTTATAAAAAGAAAAGTCAGCCTTGCAGCTGACTCAGATTTATTTATTTTTTTACATTTATGACATTGCATTGTGATTTGATGTTTCTTATATGTAAAAAAAAAACTTAATATCACGAAAACTCCAAATTGGTATTCTTATGACAAATTTTTCCCAAACTAATTTTTTGACTATCAAAAACCTTAAACAGTTACACTTATGATAAATTTGCCCCAAACTAATTTTCTGACCATAAAAAATCCAAAATTGTACACTTGTGACAAATTTACCTTCTGTTAAATTAGATTAATACCACGAAAAACCACAAACTGATAAATCTGTGACAAACAGAGGGGTAAAACTTTAAACTGGCACACCCGTCAATTGCCACGTATCATCAAACTTAGAAATTTGAAGGTAAAATTTAACGGAAATTAACTGAGAGTAAATTTGTCATAGGTGTACCGGTTTGGGATTTTTGGTGGTCAAAAAATTAGTTTGGGGTAAATTTGTCACGGATGTACTAATCTGGGATTTTTTGTGGTATTAATCCTAAAAAAAAAAAGAAGACAAGAGAGAGCCTAATATTGTTCACAAAAGTAAGGTGAAGAGTAATGTGATTATAGTACTTACAGTAGGAGCCAAAAAATTGTTTGCTGGTAATAGATTTCATGGCCTTCGAAACGAAGAGATTATTTTCCTAACTTCTTTGTCAGTAACAAACGTAAGCATTGCTTTGACTTGCACATATCACTCTAGGAGAAGATATTAACTATCTTTGTTGTAAACCTTGCTTTGCTAAGCAAAGATCTGACTTCGGAGACGTTAAAGATCAGGTGCATTAAGAAAGGGCTTCTTTAAAAATTATAGCCACCACGGACGTGATTGCCGAAGACTTTCCGGGTCACTGGGACGAGTCAAGAATCGCAGAAAAGACGGGTCCAGGAACGAGGGTCGGGGTCCCGCGCAACGCTCCCGTGATAACTATGGGGAAAGATCGTCGGAGCGCCGGGAGTTGCAGCCGAGCGAGGTATTTGTTCGAGGTCGTCTTCGCGCTCGGAGCTCATCAATTTTTCCATGGAAACAAAGGGGGCTTTTGTCCATAGTTTGTGCAAGCGCGCGACGTGGTCGACGGCTGATGTGGCGTTGCGTGGCGTGCGCGTATTTACTGATATCCAATTACATCCCGACACGTGGATATTGAATTGGAAATCTAAGAAGAAAAAGAAAAAAAATTGGTGCCGAGACGGAGCCGCTGCCGTCCACGGCGAAGTTGTTGAGCTTGTCGCCGGCGGACGTGGACGAGCCAAGGCTCGAGCGGAAAGCTGTTAAGCAGTAGACCAGATCTGGCTGTCGAGCGACGGTGGATCGCCGCGTCCAGGCCGACCTCTCTCCGTTGTCCCGGCGACTAAGTCTTGGCCGCGAGCGCTCGTCCACAGATATGGAGATGCAGAGTCGCAGCCGGCCATGGACGGTGTGGCTCGAGTCATTTGACCCCGCCGACGGGCTCGCCGCTGTCGGGCTCTCCGCTAATTGCAGGTTCCGTCTTCTTTTCTTCTGGGTTTCTTTTAGAGGGTTCATGGGTTTTGATTTCTCGATTTGTGTGTTTGAAGATGTTTCCAGAGGAAGAGGAAGCGCGCTCGTGCATGGCCGACCTCCGCACGATTTATGGACGAGGCCGCCCGTCCATGGCCACCGAACCTGCTCAATTCATTGGCTTCAGATCTGGTGTTCTCTCGCGGCCGTGGATGAGGCCCACCTAGTTGCTCCGGATCTGGAGTTCGTTCGTGGATGAACAGGGGAAAGACGAAACGCTCGTCCATGGCCACCCCTCCTGCGCCGCCTTCAGACCCGTGACGAGAAGTCGTGCCGACGTCGCTAGTGGATGATGAGCGGCCGTCCATGCTGACTCGCCGCCGTCCATGGAGGCCCAGATGAACGAGGAGCGCGTTGTCGAAGAAGGAAGGAGAGAAAAACAAAAATACATGTGACCATCAGCAGCCATGTGCCCATTTATTAGTGGGCGAGAGTAGAATATGCTCGCCACATCAGCCGTTGACGCCGAACCACTGAACATTTTCTGGTCTTCGGAGATACAGTAACGTTCTCTCTGTGTCATTTGTGTTGCTCTCTCTCTCTCTCTCTCTCTCTCTCATGCTGGCTTCTGAAGAAACTCGAATTCTCTTCAGAAGCCACAGATCTTGTTCATCCCAAGGAGAGAAATTTCGGTTTTTCTCCTTTTAGCATATGCACATTGATTCTTGAACTTCAGATATCGGACATCTTGGGTAGAAGGGGTCCGTAATGGCGGCCAATGCGACGGCGACGGTCTGTCCCGCGCCGATGAAGGCCACGTCGAACGGGTCGTTCCAGGGCGACAACCCTCTGGATTACGCGCTCCCTCTGGTCATCCTTCAAATATGCCTCGTCGTGACCTTCACGAGACTGCTCGCATTGATTCTCAAGCCTCTCAGACAACCGAGGGTCATCGCGGAGATCATTGTGAGTTTCTTACTTATCTTCGTTCGTTCGAGGAGAAGAAAGTGTGCTTTATTCGGGAAATTCTTGGGTTTTTGTATTTCTTTGAGCATTCATGTCAATTCCGAAAGATGGAGTGCCGTTTTAGATGTTCTTTCCAAAAGGGTCCACCAAGTTCCCTTAGAGAAATCATCCACAACCTGACAAAGGTTCTGACAAGCCTTTTCCTGTTAATATGAATGCACATGGCAATTAATCTATAAGTGAGGTTGTTTGTAAAGTTTATGTGAATTGGGGAAATTTTATTAATGTTGTCATCAAGTCTCACGTTGGAGAAACAGTTAAAAGACATGGTTGATGAGATTCTTATGTCTCCAGGGTGGAATCTTGCTTGGGCCTTCGGCATTAGGAAGAAGCGAGAAATTCCTGCACGCAGTTTTCCCGTCACGAGGCATGACCGTCCTGGACACGCTCGCGAACATAGGCCTCCTCTACTTCTTATTCCTGGTCGGCCTTGAGCTGGACATCCGTTCCATCAAGAAAACCGGCAAGAAAGCCCTGGGAATCGCCCTAGTCGGTATCAGCCTCCCTTTCGTCCTCGGAATCGGCACATCAGTGGTCCTCCGGTCCACGATCTCCAGAGGAGTGAGCCAAGGCCCGTTCCTCGTCTTCATGGGCGTGGCCCTATCCATCACGGCCTTTCCCGTCCTGGCCCGCATACTCGCCGAGCTCAAGCTCCTAACCACTGACGTGGGCCGCATAGCCATGTCGGCGGCTGCCATCAACGACGTCGCAGCGTGGATCCTGCTCGCACTCGCCATAGCCCTCTCGGGCAGCAACACGTCCCCGCTGGTCTCCCTGTGGGTCCTGCTCTGTGGGGTTGCATTTGTGTTATTTGCGATCTTCGCCCTCAAGCCGGTGCTCGGCTGGATGGCACGCAGGTCACCCGAGGGTGAGCCCGTGAAGGAACTCTACATATGCATCACGCTGTCCCTAGTGCTGGCCGCGGGCTTCGTGACAGACACCATCGGCATACATGCGCTCTTCGGGGCTTTCGTGGTGGGCATTGTGGTGCCTAAGGATGGGCCATTTGCCGGGGTCCTGATCGAGAAGATAGAGGACCTTGTGTCGGGGCTCCTCCTGCCACTCTACTTTGTGTCGAGCGGATTGAAGACAAATGTCACGACGATACAAGGAGCGCAGTCCTGGGGGTTGTTGGTGCTTGTCATTTTCACAGCTTGCTTTGGGAAAATTGTGGGGACAATTTCTGTTTCAATGTTGTGCAAGGTGCCATTGAAGGAAGCTGTCACTCTTGGGTTCCTGATGAACACCAAGGGTTTGGTGGAGCTCATTGTGCTCAACATTGGGAAGGACAGGAAGGTGCAGTATGTTCATCCATTTCTTGCTAAACACAAAAATTTACAATTGGCAATCTGTCGTGCTTTATAATTAGTCCTGAGCTAAGAAGATCAATCCGGTAATTGCCAAAATTAGTCTGCCATAACGATGGCATTTCAGGAAAACAAGTTGGAGTGACAGCAAATTGATTACCTTTTTTGGCCCTTTGTCTCAGGTGCTGAATGACCAGACATTTGCAGTCTTAGTTCTAATGGCCTTATTCACCACGTTCATCACAACCCCAACAGTGATGGCTGTGTATAAACCAGCCAGGAGAGGAGTGCCGTACAAGCACCGGACAATCCGGCGGAAGGACCTCGACACTGAGCTCCGGCTGCTGGTCTGCTTCCACAGCACACGCAACATCCCTACCATGATCAACCTCATCGAGTCATCCCGCGGGATTCAGAAGAGGGGCCGCCTCTGCGTCTACGCCATGCACCTCATGGAGCTCTCAGAGCGGTCCTCGGCCATTTCCATGGTGCACAAGGCGCGGAGGAATGGCCTCCCGTTTTGGAACAAGGCCTGCGACGGCCAGGACCAGATGGTGATCGCGTTCGAGGCCTACCAGCAGCTCAGTTCCGTCACCGTGCGCCCCATGACTGCTATATCCCCTCTCGGCACCATCCACGAGGACATCTGCATGAGCGCACACCAGAAGCGGTCTGCGATGATATTGCTCCCATTCCACAAGCACCAGAGGTTGGATGGTGTGATGGAATCACTGGGCCACGCCTTCCAAGCCGTGAACCAGAGGGTCCTACGCCATGCACCATGCTCGGTCGGGATTCTTGTAGACCGCGGCCTAGGAGGCACAACCCAAGTCTCCGCCAGTGAAGTCTCGTACACGATCGTCGTGCCCTTTTTCGGAGGCCGTGATGATCGCGAGGCGCTTGCCTTCGGGGTTCGCATGGCAGAGCATCCTGGGATTGTGCTCAGTGTTACGAAGTTTGTTTTCCCTCCAGGAACAGCAGTTGCAGCACAAGAAAGTAATGAAGATGATGACAGCCCCAACGATGATGATCTGTCAGAGTTGACTGCCAGCAAAAATGAGTCTATTGCCTATGAGGAGAGGACTGTGGCAACTAAGGAAGACATAGTTGCTGCATTAAAATCAATGAGCAAGTGCAATCTGTTTATAGTGGGAAGGATGCCTTCCAATGTGCCGGTATTGGTGGACCGGACGAGTGATTGTCCGGAACTGGGCCACGTCGGGAGCTACTTGGCCTCGTCAGGCTTCTCGACCACCGCATCAGTTCTGGTGGTTCAACAGCATAACCCGTCGGGGAGTCTTCACCCGCTGGTGAAGGAACAGGCGAAGGCAGATGTCTATGACTTGCCAGATACATCACTGGGAGATTACTCCCGTGGCAATACTATGGTCTAAAGTTCTGTCTCACATGTACTTGTGCATCATCTTCTTCAAACTCAACAAAGTCCCTTTCAAATCACGCTTATATAGAGGGAAACTATTAGGCCATCCTAGTCAAATAAGAGATCTCCTCTATTCCCTGTTTCGAGGAGATTGTAAGGCCTTTTACTTCGTGTTACTATGCCTTGCAAATTGTGGAACTAGTGAACCCTGGACATGGTTATGGGTATGAAACTGGAGCCGGTCGAGGCTTGATGAAATCTTTCAGAGACGGAAGACGGAAGAGAGTGGTGGGAGATGTCAATTGTGTCACCTGTAATGTAAGTGTGCGACTTCATGGAGCAGAACATTGCGGGTGCAAATGCTCACAAACTCCCAGATCGATCTTATACACACGTTTTATTTAGATTCACCATCTATATATTAGTAACACTGTAATAGAGAACATTATCAATCAGAAGGGATTATTTTCTCCGGTGACCATCTTGTCCAGTTCCTTAGAACTGACGAGGCCAACTATGGCAAAAGAGGGGAGAGAGACGACAATATAACGTAGATTCTATGTATCAACTCAAAGCATTTCTCGTAAGGATTTAAATGAATCATCTAAAAAAATAAAAAGATTGCTCGCCAACGGGACCAGTCGAACCCAGTCCATTTTCAGCCTGTTGGAGCACAAGTCTCGTATGTAGGAATAAACAGAGAAAAGAGGAAATGAAGTTGAAATAGTAAAAGACTTCATTTGAACATCTATACATCACCAATGGAATCAGAGTGACAATGATCTCCTGTCGCATTTCCTAGACCTACCTTAGCTTCCGGATCGGCAATGCTCGTCCAAAGAGCTTCTCAACTTCAGTCGCTTCCATTTTGAGCTCATTCAGTAACTCCATTTCCTCTTGACTGAGGCCTCTCAAGAAGTTCTCCTCATCTTGTCTGAGCTCTTTAAACCATTCAGCCAACTTCTGGAACAAAGTCATCTCGGTCTTTCCCACTTTTTGTACCTCATCTTCAATCTGCTCGACCTCCCTCATGATAGTCTTCTCGCCTTCCTCCACCGTCTTCTCTATTCTCTCCACAAGAGGCGGCTCGGGCCCGCAAGTATTATTGGTTCGGATGAAGTCTTTAAAGTCTCTTCCTACGCTCTTCGCAGCTCTTTCGAGTTCTGGTACGATACTATCTGGCAAAACCGCACTTCTCGTGTATAATACAGCTCCTCCGTACCCATCCCATGCATCATTCCTGCCCCGATAGTATACGAATATGTAATCATCTGGCTTGTTTTCTGTCTTGGATGACAATATATACCTGCCAAGTTTGTAGCAAAGAAGAAATTACTGAAAATTACATTCGTCAATTAACAAAACCGAAGTAATAATTTTCGAGTTGACATTATATAGCAGAAAAATAATCCACTTGATCGTGAACGATATCATTTTGGCCACATCTCTGATTGCTATCTCAGGAAGTTTTCCTCCATGTTATTGATTATATAATCTTCAGTATGAATTTCCAGTATATCTTGACCCAATAATTTGTCAGTTCTAGCTTTGAGACAACAAATTGACTACTAAGTGAAAACATTCAGCAGCTAATTTGTTTCATGCATTCGTGCATAATTAATAGTCTGTCAAATTTCCAAGGATTAAACCACAGAACTCCTACTTCTATTCCTCCAGGATAAAATCTGAGTGACGCAATTCCCCACACATCACATACATGATGGGACTTCTTTTGTTCGAGAACTTGAATAAAACAAGATGATTTGGAGGTCGCTCCGTACATATGAGGTCATGGAAAAGATTATAGTCATCAGAAGGAAATAAGTTTGCATGAAAAACTGGAACTTAGAAACATTAAAGAACTTTCTGCAAGGAATTACCAGTCATCTTGATAATGGAGATATTCATTATCGTGATTGTATAATATCCCGGGCTGTTCAGGGTCCTGTACAAATCTCTGTATGGCTGTTCGAGTGAAGAATCCACCATCTGGAGTATGTATCCTCCACGACAGATTGCCCACAAGCTTGTTTGATTCCGTATGAAATTCATGCAATTGGCAATCGAAAGTGTCAAAGGTGCGATTTAAGCCACTAGAAATGAACCACTTCCCACTGAAATCTGCTATGTTGAAGCTCTTAACAAGAACTGCAGGTTCAGGGACAGTAAATTCTCCAACATCAGATTTCTGAGGTACACACTTCTTCCTCGAAACTGCACATTCATTGAATTCATCCACAACACTATTTTCAAAGAGATCCCCACACTTGATCTGAAAAAAAATAAAGATAGAACTTCTGTCAGAAAAGTGAGCAGCTATACTTGAACTCCTGGCCGAGTTATTCGCTTTTTAAGCCAAATATAGTGCACTAAATCCAATTTTAGCAGAAACTAAATATTTTAAACAGAGAATTACCATTCTGTTCTTCCTACTATCACAGAAAGCTCGGAGAGGTAATGCAGCGAAAAGGGTGAACTAAAAAATCATTTATGAAAGGTGGCGCCTAGGCTCTTGACCTGATGATTTATTTCTCTCTTACAGTAGTGTTCAAGTGCATAAATGTCTTTACAAAATGGTAATTTCGGAGCAAACCTGGCATTCAGTCTCGTCAGGCCGATTGTTGCATGTCTGGAGACAAGCAACGCTCGCAGCACATGATGGATTTGCTATGCACTTGGCCAGTTCTATCCTGCTCATTGAACCAATCAATCAAATCAGGAGGGTTATTCTCCCTTTCTTCACTATCAGATTTTATAGTCATTTTATTACCCTCTAGACTCCACATCAGCAATCAATTCCATAATATGCACCTCATGTTTCGCCTACTAATATAGAAGATGAGCTACTGGTTTTTTGAACCGTCAAGAATAATGACATCAGCTATGAGGGAAAACTTAGCTGAAAAGATGACAAAAAGAATTTTTCCAACTGATAAAGTGACTCTTGGAACAGTAGCAGAGAATCAGAGCAAGGCCAGATGACAGAAGGACTTCATCTTTTTCACGAACAAAGCTAACAATGATAGACAAACAGACAGACAGACAGACAGCAATTTGCTATAAGTACGGGAGTATAAATATGATATCATGATTCCTTCAGTCAATTATGCTAAATAGTTTCAAAACAGTTCTTATTACTTCTACTATTTTTGAACGAATGTCAATTGTCCAGTCATCTCACATATAATAAAGAAGCTCAAGGGTTAATGGACGTATCACATACAACAAACAACATAAAATGAACTGTGCCTGATTCAACTGCTTGAAAGGTTAATGACCAGATACTTCCACTGCAACCCCAACCTCAAACAATTCAAAAAAGAAAATACACAGAGAATCCAACTAATTTTTGACAACTTGCAGGAGCCAAGATGCGAAGGGGTTGTGAATGCAAAGAGCCCCATCAGTGGCTCCCCCCCATCCCAACTCCTTCCTTTCATCACTGTTTTTCCCCTCACTCTTTTAGGAGGCTTCTTTTTGCAATACTTTATGCACCATCAGGTTATTATATACAGCGGACCGACTGTTAATCAAACAAGAAGCTAAATACCACAAAAGTTAACCGAGGAAATACCTGCACTCTTTTAGCAAGCAAGCACAGGTTTTGAGAGCATCAACTGCTTCAGCAGAGGGAATTATCAAGAATGCGCATGCAGCTAAAGCAGCTAGTTTGGTGACATGTCGCTGACTCCATTCTCTCGCTAATTGAAATATCTCCCGTGCACTCTCAGTTACCTTGAAAGAGACAAAACAATGTCAAGGACCTAGCGATTCTCCATGGACGGAACAAGAGAAAAATTGAAGTCGCCCACTACCTTAGGCATTCTTGAACGACTTCCACGCAATGAAGATACTTCCTCTTTCCTCGGCAATGGCAAACCAGAACAACTTGATTCGGAACGACAATGGCTCTCTTGACAGCATTTCGCTTCCAAGCGCCTCGTCGTCTTTATGCCCGTCCACATTGTCGCTCGACCTTTGCCGTGATGACACGGCAACTTCATACGAGAATTTCTATCAGCCAAAATGGTAACTGCAAAAGACGCAGCACCAATGCTCTCGTCGCGGAACAGGCAGATGGACCGCGCAGCAGCCGATGCCATGGTTTGGATCTTTCTCCTCCTACTGCAAGCTGATTCCTCCCACGAAATTAGCCTCTTTCACCGTGAACTAGTCTTGCACTCACGCCTCATCTCCCAAACAAACCCAAACAACAGGGAAATGATTCCAACCCAGATGATCAAACAGTCATATTCCCACCATATTCAACTCAAAATCCAATCTTGGCTCAAACTCCGGACATGGGACATTGAAATTCTCAATCAATAACAAGAAACTGAACGTCCAAAAACCCCAGGAACTACTCCAACCTAGCCATTCATGGCTTCCAATTCATGAAGACACTTCACCAAACTAATGGCCCAGCTAAAAGAGAAGAAGAAAAAAACTGACCTTGACGACAGGTGGGCAGGATTGGAGAGTGGAGAGAGGCTCGCTTCTGCTCATCTCGAAGAAAAATTCGGACTTTGCAGAAGAAGTGATGAGAAAAAGAGGCGCCAAGCTGTGTGGGGCTTGGAAGGGAGGGAAGCCGGATAAGAGATTGTGTGGAAATAAGGCATGTGACGTTGTTGTGATTATTTCAATATGTCAATCTCACTCTACATTTCTTTTTATTATTATCAATTTTCTTCAATTATATTAGTGATTTCCTCTAAGAAAATAGCATTTTTAGTTTCTCCTGTTAAATTCTATAATATAAATCGGAATCATTTTCACTATATATTAAAATTTCTCTTCTTTCAACATCCGTGCATTGTGCAGCGTTTACTTTCAAAAATACATATAATATGGTTTAAAGGGTTTTTAATTAAGTTTATTGTTGGTTTAAGAAATAATTTACACACTTGATATTGGATCATCAACTCGCAATATAATTCAATGATGAGACTAACTCCAAAAGCACGTGTCATTCACTCGATGGTGAATGTGTTAGCGGATCTAATAATAATCTTATTTTTAATATATATATATATATATATATATATATATATACAAAAATTTTAAAGAAAGGAAATGAAGACTAGAAGCACCAGAGGAAATAATTTTTACCAAAAAAAAATAATTATAGTTTTCTGAGAACAATGTTCGGAGATATTAATAGTTGAAAACATTAAATGAAAAATCCTAATGCAAGTTATCTTTATGATCAATGAATAGGATATGATAATGTGTATCGATATTCGATGTTGTAGATTTGTTATTTGATCTTTTCGTCCAACCGCTATGGTGACATTGTATTCTCAACAATCAAAGATTAGAGATATGGTCCTTAACAAGGATGGTAGATGAAGAAAATATCTACTAATGGATCTAAAATGTCCAAGTGCATACACTAATCATGTTTTATTGTCAAATACTATTCCCTTTGATTTTTTGAAAATGTATAACAGTATATCGAGAATAGACTATGAATTACCAA